AAAGAGTACATTCAAATCCCAGCATTTTCCGCAGCATTGCAGTCTGCTACAATATCTGCCCTAAACACATTGAAAAATGCTCTGCCTGGGAGAAGCTGATTGATTCACAAATGCAAAGCGGAGATCATACTGTCAAGCAAAACAAAGAGACTGTCAGAGACTGTTTGTGCCTTACTTTACAAAAACATTGAAACATAAACATTTGTCACTGCTGGAGACATCCCCAATGTTGTTCTGACAGCTTTTACAGTCACTTTTACAAAATGAATATCAATGCAGAGCTCTCCGGTGTAATTACTGCAAAATGATGCTGGATGCGTTATGTCTGTTACCTCTGACTTTCAGACATAAAGGAACATTTTACCAAATTTTAATGACCTGACATTTAGCACAAGAAAATGCCACATGTCTAGGAAAAAGATATGTCACAAAATGTGTTGCTGTTCATGGATGGTGGCGGTCTGGCGAATGCAAGGTGTGGTCTGATTTACCTGCTAAATTTCATGGTTCTGCTCTGTTTTCCTGCAAATGTAAGAGCTTTGTCAAGACGGAGTCACTTGTCATTCTTTGTGATTAATAGTTTTTAAATCAAAATATGCATGACTATAGCATGCGAAACAGACATTTTCTGAGATTTAAAACCCAGGAGTTACTTTTGCACATGATTGGAGTGACAGGGTCAGTCAGGCATCACTATGTGTGGTTTAATATAATTTAGTGAACTGTAACTCAACAGAATGCTGATGAACCTAAAAGTGCTTAAATAGCACAGCCTACTTAGCGTCGGTCCTGTTCTTTTAAAACTACTGCCACCCTCATCAGAATCAACCAGTCCAGACCAGTGAGGTCCTTTCTTCCCAGTCAGAAGTGAGCAGTTTTCCATGTTGGTACCAACTGGATTGAAAAGTGTTGCTGACTTATGAGCTGTAACTAGGTTTGTCACTGGGTTCCCTGAAGGCCCCACTTGTGTTTGCTTAAGTGAGTATTGAGTGGGTTCTTTTCTGGCTTAATGAGAAGACACCAGGACAATAGGTCCATATGTTGATCCATGATATATGTCCAGCATGTGCATTGTTTAGGTTTTATGTTGGCCAAAGATGGGTTTAGATGTGAGCTCCATGAAGGACTTGCATATGCCACTGTGTGAGTTACAATTATACCTAATGTAACCCACATTGTATTTCCCTATACATTCCCAAGACCAGGCACAGTACAGTTTGAGTCAAGACCAAAAAGAAGTTGGCTCAAGGCTAAGTCAAATCAAATCCAAAACACAGGTTCTCTCCCAAGTCCAAGCATAAACTGTGATTTAAACAGCACGCCTCTGCTATTGATCCAACTAAATCAGGACAATCCATGCGATAATTGTTCATTATTAATGTTAAAAATGTTCTGAAGTTGTGTTAATGCCAATTTGATAATTAAGTTATTTGCATGCAACTCCTGGTGACTTTTCAAATCCAGGTCAGATTTGGCACAGGCATGTTTTCAGCTGACTACATCACTGGCAAATACAGCAACCAATAAATAGCAAAAGCTAACTTCACTGTCATGTCACCTTTCTTTGTGTTGTCTTTACTGGAATCCTTTGGACCGTTATTTGGGCAGTTCTGAAAGAAAGTTAGATGCAGGATTTTCATTGTGGCCAACATCCCAATGATAGATTAAGTCTAGAGGGCTTCCAGGATCTCTGCCAAATGATAAATCTTTAATTAATTTTTTGAGTTGTATTTTTTCAGCAGTACAGTATTCAGACTCTCGGGTGGTGTGAGACTTTGAGTATGAGGGTGTATCAGACAGTGTGGTGGTGTTTCATTGTTGGGACAGAACTGTCAAGCTGTACCCTGCACCAAAGATGAACAGTTAGCATTTGCGGCGCATTAAATTATCATTCGAATCATTGCCAACAACTATAACGGCCCGATCTGACTGGTAACAAGGGCAGACAGCTTGGATCTGTTTTCTCTTGTGTTAACTCTCCATAGCTGAACAAGCATGTCAGTGAATAATAGTGGGTGACTGATCGCTTTCATCCTCACTGAATTAAAAAGAAAAACTCGTGTGTATATATATATATAAATTGATTAACCTCTAAGTTTGGACATGTGGGAGAACCAAGTGAGGTGTCTAAATGTTTAAAATACAACAGTTATTATAATGTAGACTGATGTAGACCGAGTGAAGGATGTGTGCATTCAAAATCATCGGTGGTACCAATTTCTGCAACATAAACGCATTAAAGATACATTACAATAAAGCCATCATAAAACTGAGTGAGACAGGGTAAGCGATGGATGATGAAGCGACATGGGGAGATTGAGGAAGGGGACCTGCAAGATAGATGATCATGAGAAAAGCAAGGGAGTGAAAATAGAGGGGAAATGAGAATCACATCCTCTGAAATATAAATAAAGGTTTAAGAGAGGGGAAAAGGAAGAAGAGCTGAGAGGCAGGTAGAAAGACTGATACACTGACAAAGAGAGGGATGTAGGATAGAAACTGAGAAGCAAAATGACCTGGGTTGGAAGAAAATCCATTAGTTAGAGAGAATGATTGACAGGTATATAGACTAAATCATTAGAGTGGAGTTACCAGGAGGAAGTGAAATGTATAATGAGAAATTGCTAGCAAATTACGTTCAATTGTTTGTATAACATGTAATGTACTCACATGAGTATAAAAATAGGGATGACAGAATGAATATGATTGTGAAAAAAACAGGTGAATACTGCGTTGCATGAGGGGAATGGGATAGGGAGATATGGCAGGGGAAATAATCAAGAGTAATGGAGAGAAATATATTGAATAACAGGAAAGCATTGAGAGGGAATAAAATGGAAAGGCTGATAGAAGAACTGAAGTGCCTGTGTATGTGAGTTATAGCAAATCGTTGTTTCTGCTCTGCATTTTACATTGTGGGAGGATGGAGAACATGAAGTATCAAATTACAGCATATCTATTTTTAGCAGGCTCATAAGATTTTATGCACTTTCATTTGTTTGTTTGTTTGTTTGTATGTATTTGAATTGCTTTGCTGGATAAAATGGAGGGGAAATCTAAGATAAAGCAAAAAAAAGCATGTAGCAACAGTGGGTATTTTTTTTATCTTGTGATGCTGTGGTACATTGTCATCCCTTGATGAAAACTGTTCTGTTGAGGGGATTTGGAGTGTCAAGGCAGGCATCAGAATGGAGGAGTAGTACTGTACACAACCCTCCTCTGAATGAAAGTTGAATGCTATTGATTAGCCAGGTAGTGAAACTGGGCAGGCTAATATACTGCTGCCCACTGGTACACACATGCATCACACTATGAGCTTTGAGTCATGTCACTGTAGTGTTTGAAAGTGGAAATGGAAAAACTGAAATGGCAAAGAGAAGGTGACAAAAATGTTGCAAAATTTTAACTTGTCAAGTTAATTAAAGCACATTATGGTGTCCTAATGTACAACAAATGTTTATCAGAAGTCAGGTTCAATTAGTGTAAACATACTCTCAAGCAGGGTTTTTCTGTTTCTCCCACATTTTTTAGATCCTCCTTTAAAGTTGTTTAAGATGGTCAGAGAATCTTTATTATAAATAGTTATGCTTGCCTTATGTAGATTGTGCTATGCAACAGTTGTTGACTGCGATGCAAGGTGATGAACACATTGGTATGAGATGTGCAATGAGAAGATTTTGTAATAGTCTCAAATATTAGAATTTAAAAAAATTCTGTATGGTATGAAAACGCCAGGTCAATGAGAGTAATGCTTACTCATGGTAGCCATGATTTGGATATGTATAGTCACTGCCCAATGAGTTCAGGTCAAAACATTTTTTATGTGCTCTATGCATTTCTTTTCACATTTACAATGTTGAACTCAATATCCACATTTGCAAATCTAAATTACATTATAGAATAATCAAGAAAACAAAAAAATATCTTTTATTGAAAATTAATTTGAAGCTTCAGGTGCTCATACCACATCTGTCAACTGGAAAGAGACTTTTTGTCTGACAATTTTTGAGGAAGCTGTGTGAAACTGTGTGTCCCCCTGTCCGGCTGTCCTGTTAATTTGTGCTGCATATACCAAAAAGAAAATAGTCTAGGATTCTGAGAAATAACAAACTAGTGTGATGCCTTCATTCAACATTCAAGCTGTTGGATGAGAAGTACAAGTAAGACTGTTACAGATAGTAACCTCTACTTTGCTTTGCTGCCATTATTATCATATCGAGAATAAAATATACAGTGTACTGTTCCCAAAAGGTGGATGTTGTAGTTATAATACAATCTTGACACCAAAACTGTAGACACTCCACACAGGAAAATGCTCACCATGTACCTGCACAATTATAGAGCACATTATAATTTCACTGTATGGTGTAATTTAGTTCAGCTCCTGAGCCTAGTTATAGTTGTCACTCTCCTATCTCTATCCAGACTTAAGTTAAATTTTGTATTTTTCAAGGGTGTATTGGAAATAGCAGCTACTGCAAGTATTTTAAGTCTATTTAGTTTTTTGTCTGAAAAAAGTAAACATTAAATTCATGCATAGGTAACAGGCATTAACCTCATAGACATTTCTTTTTTCTTGCAGTTGTTATAAAAGAGTGACTCCATATTTTGCCAAACACGGGCATAGACAGGAACTATTTCCATGTGGCTCAGCATGAAAAGATGTGTGAAAATAACTACAGGACCACACATGTTTTTTCATTGACCTTTACTTATTTTCTTTCTAGTAAACCTAGCTTGAAAAAAAGGAATTTAGCACTTGTTACATTAATTAGGAAATTTGCATTTTCTCTGTGCTTCATGTGACTTGATGCTGTTTCACAAATGCTTCATACTAAAGGCATTTCATTAAGTCTACAGAGGGTTTTACATATCCAAAAATGCTTATATTTTTAAAACGTTTGTCTTCAGCGCAGATCAGCGATTCACCTTTACTTATCTTAAGTGATGCTATATTAGTATCTGCTTCAGTTCATTGTTCATTTGCTTCTGTCTTCCAGTTGCCCTGTTCCCAGTGGAGGATAATGGAACGGCTGTGGTTCTCTTTGCTGTTGCTGGCAGCAGCATGCAGGGGACAGCCGTGTCCGAAACGCTGTATGTGCCAGAGCCTTTCTCCATCGCTCGCTATCCTCTGCTCCAAAACAGGCTTGTTGTTTGTTCCTGCTGCCATTGACCGACGCACAGTGGAGCTACGGCTTCAAGAGAACTTCATTACAGGTAATGCACCTGCTAGTCTGTCCTGTATTACCATCAGTCAAGGCAGGGGATTAAGATATTTTGCATAGTCCAATCTGTTTGTCCTCATCAACCATCACCTTAAATTATTTCCTTAAGGGGAATTTACAATTAGTGCCTACAGCTGTATGCAAGATTTAACATAGACCTGGAAAAAATGCTGTAATATTGAACAGCATCACCTGAAGCAACAGTGTTTGGATACTGAGCCACGGCAGCATTGTCATAGCAAAAGAGTGAGCAATGAAATGACAGGTTAGATAAAGGGAAATGCTGTGAGTACACACAGTGAGTAGAGTATGTCACATGTAAATGTAGCACCATGCTATAACTAGTTGTATGTGCAGAGTTTGATAGCACTGAACACAAATGTTGGCTCATGTCACAATTCTTTTTTGTTGGTCTCTACATGACAATAAGTAATATTTCTCATGAGGCTGGGTGTTTCTTTTTAACTTTAATACTTTGAAACTTTTTTGTTTTGTGGTTCAGTCTAGCAAATCTCATTCATGATTCATCACTTCCTATCAAAGAGTTTTCTTGCATACTTTGAAAAGTACTTATTTTTAAGAACTGAAGTGTTGCTTTATCCTTTTTATTTTAATCTGGAGCCCCATTAGCTCCCACCAAGGCAGTCACCTAATCTTTCCAGGCTTGACTTAAAAGAAATTATTTTCCATAGTTTACCAAAACAAAAGACACACAGGCTAAGAAAAAAGAAAACTGCTTTCACAGGGTCCAGAAAGATAATTTGAGGCGCTATTAAGAATATCACACAGCTGTAGTTATTTAAACATTATCACATTGTTCACGTCCAAATCAGTTTCAGTTTAGCACAACCCTTTGCAAAATGAAAGATTCTCTATCACTTTTTGGGGGATACTATATTCTCTCTGAGGTCCACTGAGGTTCTTAGAGTATGTTGCCAAAAAGTTAATTTTACAGGAATTAATAAATGCATACTTGTTATCATATGGTTCAGGCTCTGAAAGTAGAAGCTAATTAGACATGGACTTGTCAATCTAAATATAAAACACCATGGTCTCCATGTGACAGCAGTCGAATGGTTGCCTTGACAAATGTGATCATTTGCTGCACTGTGTTCAGCAACACCAAGCGACAGAAGACATCATTTCAGCAAATGATCTTAACCCTGACTATCTTTTACTTCTTCTCCCAATCCATATCAGAAAAGGATTTTATAAAAATCTACAGAACATAACATATCTGAGTCATCCAATCTGAAGCACCTTTTTTGTGCTCTGGCAAACATGTGTTTATTCTGCTCACCCCCAGCTGTCAGAAGAAAGGACTTTGCCAACATGACCAGCTTGCTACATCTGACCCTTTCCAGAAACACCATCAGTCAGATTCTCCCTTCAGCTTTCAGTGACCTGCGGCGACTGAGAGCACTCCACCTAGACTCTAATAGATTAACTGTGATCAAGGTGAGACTAATGGATAGATGGTTGGAAGGATTAAAGATGTTAAATGGGAATGATTAGCAAAATGGATCATTGGACTGAGAAACACTTAGAAGTCTCAGTGTCACAATTTGAAGGTTGGATGGATACACTCAATTGAACTACGATGACAGAAAAATTATATATATATATATATATATATATATATGGTACCAGCATGATAATACTGTGAAGCTTCTCATAGCCTTTTCTCTTTTTCACCAATTAGGACGACCATTTCAAAGGCCTGACCAACCTTCGTCACCTGATCTTGGCCAACAACCAGCTCCACTCCATATCTCCCCATGCCTTTGATGACTTCCTGTCCACATTGGAGGATCTCGACCTCAGTTACAATAACCTTGCCCAGGTGCCCTGGGACACGATCGGGCGGCTAACCAACGTCAATACCCTAAATATGGATCATAACCTCATAGAAAATGTTCCCCAAGGGGTTTTCACAAACCTACACAAACTGGCCAGGTAAATACAGTAGATAGAGGAAAGGAGGGAGGAATGAGCAGATCGTGTGTGTAGCAATAGATAACGTATATGTGCACAGACTGGTTCACTGATCTACTGAATAAATTACTGTTGATCTAATGATAATATCCCTCTCTCCTCTTGCCTATCCTTCACCATCTCCCTACCCACATCCTCTCACAGGCTAGACATGACGTCAAACAAGCTGAAGAAAATTCCCCCAGACCCGTTGTTCCTGAGAATTCCAGTTTATGCCAAGTCCAGAGGCTCCCCCCTCTCCTCCCTGGTGTTGAGTTTTGGTGGCAACCCCCTTCACTGTAACTGTGAACTTCTGTGGTTGAGAAGACTGACCAGAGAAGATGACCTCGAGACGTGCGCATCTCCCCCTGACCTCAGTGCCAAGTACTTCTGGACAATACCTGAAGAGGTGACATTTTGAGCTTTTCACTAGCATCCTGCAGGGAACTAATAAAAATGTGTCTCATAGCCTTTAAACCACGACAGACCTTTGATAATTGAATTTATACAAGACAGAAACGTATTCAGATGTGATGATGATGAAAAATGTGCCTGCAGTATGACCTTATTCTTTTTTGCCATTTAGGAGTTTATTTGTGACCCACCAGTTCTGACCCGTAAGTCACCTCATACAGTGGCCATGGAAGGCCAGCCTGCCAGCCTGAAGTGCAAGGCAAATGGCGACCCTGAACCTGAAGTCCACTGGATCAGCCCTGAAGGGCGACTAATATCTAATAGCACCAGGTACTAAGCTTATTTCTGTGCAGTCCTATTATCCTGTTTGATCCACAATGACCTTTCTCCATAGACCAATATGTTGCACAAATTGCTCAAAATTAAATGCCAGGTGTTAATTTAGGGAACATGACACATTCAATAATGTCAGAAACCTGGCAACCCAGTTTACAGGTGTGAGAGAGGGGTTGTTTAAATGTTATATATATTTTTTGTTCTTCTCCAGATCAGTGCTATGTGCCAATGCGCAACTGAGTCAGAAAAACTGTGCCTTACATAATTTTTGTCTTTGCTGTAGTAGTCGGGCTTGGGCAGGCACATGACTCGTGTGGGCCAACTCTGAATCAGGATTAGAAGGTAGTTGTTGAGGTCACACCTTTCTCACAATTCCTTCTGGTAACCTAGTTGGCATATGTGTCAAATATGTGGGTTTCTAGTTATGATTGTGCACATACCCCATCAGTTATAAAATCATTAATAATATTTTGACATTTCTGTTGTTCTTTAGATATTTTGATCAGACAAGGCTAGTTTATGGGTATGAAGTATTGTTGGATTTCTGTCAAATAACCTTTTGGATTAATGACTGTACTTACTGTATGAGGTTGAAGCCAACAACATGTCAGCCACACAGCCCCTCAGCCTGGCAGTCAATACATTGATTCTGGATAGAGTCTGGATGGATGCTGGTGGTGAAAGTTGGCATCAGCATCAGGTGCTGCAGGCAGCAAAGTACAGGTGCGGTTAAATGGGATGATAAAGAGAACACTGATTACCAGTTGGCTTGGAGGGTTTACGTGATTGCGGCTTGAACCAGAAATGAGAACCTCTTAAATTTAAAGTATAACTGAGAATCATTTCATTACCGGAAGTGAATGTGAATGTGTCTTGCTCCTTTCTTAATTTAAATGAATGCAGGGCAAATGTACTTGCCCATTTTAACATGAAGGTCTGCCTATGCAAACCAAAATTGTAGTCTGCACTGGTGAGAATTACATTTGGATCCTTTCTGAAAGGCTAGGTGTCAACAGATGTGACTTAAAAAAGTTGATGATTCTGGGGAAAGGGATCCAGAATAAAAAAAATCTTTTAAAGCTATATGTTTATGACTTTGTTGTAACATTTATATTTCAGTAAATTTATTGATTGATTGATTGAGTTAATTAACTTTTGTTTCAGAACCTTGGTTTTCCCTAATGGAAGCCTGGAGATCAATGTAACATCGCTAAAGGATTCGGGAAACTTCACCTGCATTGCCTCCAACGCAGCAGGTGAATCCACAGGAAGGGTGGAGCTAGTTGTCACGGCGACGCCCCACTTGGCAAACAGCACAAGCCGCAGCCGAGACCCGTCCTCTGAACCTGCCCCCTCTGACATCTTAACCTCCTCTAAGGTTGCGCTGCCTAATAATGAGACAAGAGGGGCCGACCGGAGAGTCTCATTGGTGGAACTGACAGGAAACTCTGCCCTCATTAGATGGAGCAGTCAGACTCCTACATCTGGAGTCAGGATGTTCCAAGTCCAATACAACAGCTCTGGGGATGACACGCTGGTTTACAGGTCTGTCTAGCTACACTGTCAATTTTATGATGTGTCTGTCTGTTGTGATTTAATTTTCTGTCTATAGTACAGTATCTATGGTGACTTCTATGAATCTTTTAAGGCGTATGCATTCCTGTGCCTGTTTGTAAGTGTTAGTGTGTGTCTGTGTAGTTGTGTGCAAGCTAATCAGCCACTGGTATGAGGATGAGAGGAGATGATAGATGACGCAAGTCATCCAGTCGTAAAAGTCTAATCAACTGAAATGATAAAAACATCTGTAGTGGAACACAGCCGTTGTCGGGTTCACTGAATGCAGGAAGGCCTGGGCCAAATGAGACGAGTGTAGCTGTTGAACAAGTTTTAATGCTTGTTTGTCAGCTTGCTTCAGTGCTGCATCCTGCATTGATTAATTGCTGTTATTTAAATTATGGTTCTATAAATATAATATTTTTTCCATGTTTTTTGGTGTTTGACTTGACTAGGACATTTGCTGAGTCTTTGTCTATACTTTGTCAGATTGGACTGACTGGCACCCCTTAAACTAGTGTCTTAATTAAACTGCCACAACATTAGTAGTAACGTGTAGAAAGAAGGAACGTCTAATTTAATAGATCCTTCAAACAATGAGGTAAGTTTTTTGCTTTGTGTGCACAACATACAACTGCACACACAGCATTCTGTCACCACAAGTGTAAATAAATTGGGAACGAACACCCACAGAAAAGAGAAAGGGCAGTTCAAGGTATTATGGTAATCTTTCTTGATAGTTATCATTGAAATGAGCCTCATTTAATGCAAAACATTTTAGTATGTGGAATGGTAACTTGGTAGCCAAGCATGTTAATCAAAGAAATATGGGATGGCCATCTTAGACTTCTGTGTACCTCTGTGGACCTGTGCATTTTTTTTTATTATTGCTACGTGATCAGAGAAAACAGAGAAAAAGGGCTGTGGTGTTCCCTTCTTTAAAAGGTAGAAAACCTTCAACAACCAGAATGCAATGGGCCACTCCTGAACTTCCCCAACTCCTACTAACATCTGGGCAGAGCTACTAATGTAAGGCTCTCTGATAGCCCCATCTGGTAAAAAACTGGGGCAGTGTATGTGGTAAGCCTCACAAAAAAGTGTATTGTATGTTTTCACACTGTAACATTGCCATGCAAGTAACAAAACATACTCGATGCTCAAACGTCTGCTTTGCCTGCTGGCTTTGGTTATTTTGTGTGATTTCTTTGCGGGATCCTGAACTATGTCTCAAGCACTCCCCTGTCCATATGTGGCCCAAAGCTTTCATGTAATGCATGGTGACTCGACTTTTGTTTCAGTTGGCACTCTTACCACAGTGGCACCACCAGTTGTCCCTGGCACAGGGCAGCTCTGCGCCACAATCCTCACCGGCTGGCGGTGCTTGATTTTTGGCCGTGGCGGCTTCTTCCACCTCCATATGTTGTAATTCCTCCACACTGTATATACTGGCTCTTGTAAGTAGCACCAAATGGCTGATTCCAGCATTACACTATCAAAATCGACTTTTTCCATATCTACGGAAACATAACTTTTGTCGTCTTCACGTGATTGTTTTAGCGTGTTGATTTTGGACAGGATGTTTGGAGTGGTGAAGAGCTGTCCCACTCTTGATCTGACTGTCCATGTAGGCGGGCATACAAAAAATGTGGAAATACTATCTGTAGTTCGAACAACTAAAGTTCACGTTTCGTGTCATCTGGCAGACTTTTGCTGGCAAATAAATGGGGAGCTCTGGATGACTCACATTGTAACGATACGAAGCTGGTTGGAAATTGGCAAGTAAGTTCAGTAAGTTAACTTCTAAATCTTTGTTCTTTTTGTTTGTCGTCTTCTATGTGCAAAACCCAAAGCACTGGCAAAATTATATCTTAAATCTCTCCGAAAGCCTGGTTAAGCCTGTTTATTTTCAGCTCCGAGGAGTTTTCATACATTATGGAGTTATCATGGCAACAGGTTAGGAAAACCTCCTCAACCACTTTAATACTATTGCGTACAGTGAAGTATTCATTAAGTTCATTTTTTTCAGAGGTGCAAATGGAAAGGCAGAATAGATCACCCTGTCTTCTGTGATTTACAGGAGAAAATCACAAACGTCTTCAAAACTGCCATACACAATTTGAGGATAACAAATTTAGCTTCTTCTTTTTTCTCTTGAAGAACAGCTGAAATTGTCTCTCTGTTTCTAATTCTTGAAAGAATACCCTGCAATATAATATGTCAAATATATCCATGTTGATAGGAGAAGAGACAGTTCCTCCAAATTTGTGAAAAGGTGACAGGTGAGATATGTAAATGAGGGGCCTCTACTGAAAAGTGATCATGATGTTATTTCTAAGGTAGAGAAGACACTTGTTTATTCAGACAGGTCAGCTAACTGTTGGAGACAAGCGGCGTCTTACAATTCTAAGCATGGCAACCATTCCCCTGCATAGCAACCACCCATCTGTACCTGCCTGTACAAGGTTTGATGAAGTTAGTGGGCACGGCAGGTACAAAATACACTCCAGTCAGGTGTAAGTATGAGTAGATATTTGTCCGTGTGGTTTGCTGTGAATCTTTAAGAGTCACATTAAATAATTGCATTTGCTGTCATATACACAAACACAGATTCTCGGAGATATGGGATAATATGGGCCCAATGGACACATGCCTTTGGTGTGAGAGACCTGAGTTCAATTCCCACTGTTACACCAATGTGTCCCACCAATGTTTTTGTTTTTAATGTTAGCCACAAGTAACATAGTTCTCAATACAATTTCTTTGAATAACTTGTTTTAGAACCTGCTCAAAATACCTGGCCTCCCCCTAAAATCATAAAGATTTTCAGGAAATCAAACCCAATATTTGATCCTATTTATGGTTGACATTTTTTCTGTAATAGCCATGCAATATATTAAACAATTTTCGCTCTAGTTTTTATTAGCAGTGGCAAATTGCTGTCGTTAACTAGGGACTTGCAAAAAAATAATAGAAACTATTGTAATACAGTGCAATTTTATTTAATTGATGCCTTACTCTTCTCTTATCTTTACAATACATAATAGCTGTATTAAGTTGCAATTGTAAACATATATTCCTAGTGCTAGGGTATTTGTAATTGTGAAGCAGCCACAGGAAACACAATGATGGATGGATGGATGGATGTATGGATAAAATTAAAATTATATCACAGTCACATGACACACAACTTACACAAATACATGTGTGAGGTAGGTCAACAAGAATGACATAAGTGCACAGATGAGTTTTAGTCACAAATATATATTTTTATATAACACAAAACACAATCTACAAATATATTCAATATCCACAAATTCTCCATGATCCACAAATATAAAACACGATCCACAAATGCTTTCAAAATACACAAACACACTCTCCATGATCCACAAATAGAAATCAGTGACAAACCACGGTTTCAAAACATGCATACAGATTCTGTGCAGTGCTCAGCATTCAAATTTCTAATATGTGTGTGTGGATCACAGTATTATTGCAGATTGCCTACTATTTGTCTACAAATCATTTTGACACTGGTTTACCACGGAGAGTGTGACTTCGTTCCACAAATGTAGTCAGCCAATCAGGGGTATTGTTTATATGTGATGTCACTTCCCCACAAAAAGCCCTTCAAAATAAGAGCTGAAACATGTCAGAATGTGTGCATCTTTTACTCTACATCTAATCCTGTGTGGACTTTATTTATGTTCATGTGCATGATAACTTAAGTGCTGAATAATTGCCCCCCTTACAGTTTAATATTTACGTACTACATGCTGCAGTCCATTTCTGTTCTTCTTCTTGAGTGTAATAATAATAATAATCTTTATTTGTAGAGCACTTTTCAAAAACAAGTTACAAAGTGCTTTAACAAGTGTAAATACAATAATACCCAAAAGACAATAATACAAAAACAATACAAGATAAAAGCAAGAAAACAATGAAAAGACTGAAATACACGTTTAAGATAAATATAAAATAAGTAAAATAGAATAAAATAAAAGGGATAAAATAAAGTCAAATAAGACCGGGAAAGGCTCTCCTATAAAAGTATGTTTTAAGAAGGGACTTAAAAGAGTGAGAGAGAGACTCAGCCGACCTGATTTCCTCGGGCAGGCTGTTCCAGAGCCTCGGGGCCCTTTAGTTTTCAGTCGAGACTCTGGAACAGACAACAGACCTCTGCGCGAGGATCTCAAGGTACGTGCTGGTGTGTATGGGACTAAAAGGTAAATAAGGTAAATATAACAAGGCGAGAGGCCATGAAGAGCTTTAAAAGTGAATTTTAAAGTCAATTCTAAAACATACTGGGAGCCAGCGTAATGAAGCTAAAATAGGGGTGATGTGATTTCTTTGTTCTGGTTAAAAGCCTGGCAGCTAAGTTCTGGACAGTCTGGAGTCGATCAGTAGATTTTTGGGTTAAACAAGTGAAAAGGCTGTTGCAATAATCCAGGCGTGATGAGATGAAGGCGTGTAAAATGGTCTCAGTGTCCTTAAAAGTTAACATAGATCAAATTTTTAAGTTGATAAAAACATATACACAAAACAAATACTGCCATCTGCTGGGACCCGATGACCAGGATTTCTGTTTTGTCTGAGTTCAGCTGGAGGAAATTGTTTGACATAAATTTCACAAAGGCAGTTGGTAAGTGAACTCAGCATTCCAGGCTCTGTGGATCTGACGGGCAAGTACATTTGTGTGTCATCAGCATAAATATGAAAAGAAATACCGTGTTTATGGATAATATGTCCAAGGGGAAGCAGATACAAGGAAAACAAAATGGGTCCTAAGACCGACCCCTGAGGCACACCATATTTAACTGGACAGAACGAAGAGACATAGTTGTTTACAGACACGCAAAACTTCCTATTTGACAGGTAGGATGAAAACCATTCTAGAGCCATACCAGAGATCCCCACCCAGTGCCTCAGTCTGTCTAACATGATGTTGTGATCAATGGTGTCAAAAGCAGCGCTAAGGTCCAGGAGTACCA